CTGTGCAGTGCTACACTGGCACTGTGCCACACTCCCACTGTGCAGTGCTACACTGGCACTGTGCCACACTCCCGCTGTGCAGTGCTACACTGGCACTGTGGCACACTCTCACTGTGCCGTGCTACACTGGCACTGTGGCACAATCTCACTGTGCAGTGCTACACTGGCACTGTGGCACAATCTCACTGTGCCGTGCTACACTGGCACTGTGGCACACTCACTGTGTTGGACAATCTGCACCAACAGAATGTGATCGGCAGCAGAAAGGAGACACACAGGAGAGCTATGAGATGTGAGATCTGGAGGCCCAGGCTGTCTTGCTCTCTGCCCTGTCTCTCTCTGTCTTGGCTCGTGTTGTTTTTTTAAGGGGGTTCCAGTAAAGTTGGGTGCGAGTGAGAAGCGTGTGTGGGACAGGCTTACAGTAACATTTCACAGCAGAGTCCAGGCTGATTCACAAAGGCCTTTCAGTCACATCGGTGTGACCACAATCCGAGTACACACCCCCTCAACGAGCGAAACCTCAGAAATTAACACGCTGCACTCAGAGAAAACCCGCCGGCTCCAGACAAGCTCAATTTCAACCACTTGAAACAGTTCTGTTTTAACACATTTGGATTGTGCATATTTTATTTTTAGCAGTCTGTAGGTGATATGTGCCAAGCTGAGATGAAAAGTTCTGGACCCTGTTACCAGTGCGCCCCACTAGACACACTGGACCAGTGTCGCTTGGACCTAGATTCTCGTAGCCCATGAACAGCACAATGTGCTCACACAGTCCAGACACAGGATCTAGATTCCTGTAGCCCATGAACAGCACAATGCGCTCACACAGTCCAGACACAGGATCTAGATTCTTGTAGCCCATGAACAGCACAGTGTGTCTGGACTGTGTGAGCACAGGGATCTAGATTCTTGTAGCCCATGCACAGCACAGTGCGCTCACACAGTCCAGACACAGATTCGATTTTTGTAGCCTGTGTGCATCACCCTTTGCTCACACAACCCAGGTAAAGTGTTTTGGGCTTTTGTTGCTCATGTACTGTTCGCTAGTATCACAAAATGTACAAAGAATAAAGGTGACCAAACTGTTAAAAAATAACCATTCCTGCAACAGAGAATGACAAAAATCATTCGCAAAAAGCATTCGCCAGAACAATGAACAATTTCCTAGCGAAGTGAGTAGTCCAGCACCTCATCTTAATCTTGCAGTTCCGTTTTGGTTGACCGGGTTCATCGTCTTGGCTGAAAGCCCTGGGGGGTGTTTCTGAAGCCCCAGTTAAACACACTCGCACGCAGGCAGGCAGAGAGAAGAGATGTTCAGATATCTCACTCGAACCCCAGCCCCAGGTATCCGCGAAAGAGCGCGCAGGCCTGCTGGGAGCCAGGCCATGTGGTTTCGGGGGAGGGGGGACATGAAACAGCAGTGTGACTCCTGGGGGGCCCTGTGGGGTCTGGGGTTTGGGTTAGGGGAGGAATGTAGGACAGCGCAGAGATGGTTTTGGGTGGGGGGGGGGTGGTCTGGGGTCTGGGGTCTGGGGTGAGTGTATATATATATATGATACACGCGTGTGTTTGGGGAGGGGGGCCGGGTGTAGAACAGGGGGCTATGTGATCGCGTTAACCAACTTTCCATTCGCTGTGGCCTCAATGCACAAGCACACACACGATGAACACACACACAATGAGCACATACATGCACAATGAGCACACAAACGCACAATGTTGTGTTGTGTTACTGGGGACGTCCCCTTAGCACCGTCGCTAGTCCAGTCCCAGACCCCTCTCGGGGTGAAGCAGGACAGCTCTGCTCGGCCCGTGGTGCCACTCGGGGACGAATCGCTGTCGGGGTCGTCACGGCGGTGGTGAGACGTGCCCACACGCGGATCTGCGCGGGTCCGAATCGCCGGACCAGATGGCATCTTCATGCCAGCGCTGCAATTGCTAAATTGATCCTAATGACCAATTAAGAAATTAAGGAGCAGGGACCACTTGAGGTGTTGGAGTAGAGGAAGAGGAGGCCTTAAATCTGGATACCCCTAATCCTGATACCCCAACTCTCACCCTAACTCTAATCCTACTGTCCCAACTCTCACCCCAACCCTAATCCTGATACCCCAACTCTCCCCCTAACCCTAATCCTCCTGTCCCAACTCTTACCCTGACCCTAATCCTGATACCCCAACTCTCACCTTCATCCCTTTCTATAGAACAGCTGTCTGACATCAATAAGCTCTAACACAGAAAGAAGGATATATATGTTTTGGGTATATATATATATGAAGGATATATCTGAAATTCCCTTCAGAGGCTGGTGTATTCACACACAGACGCAGACTTGCACGCACACAGACAGCGTTACCAGGACAAACCAAAATGCTGAATCGCTAAAAAAAGAACAAGAAATCTCAAGCAGTGTTTTTTTTTTTGTTCTAGAAATTCAGTTACTTATTGTGAAGTCCAGAGGAAGCAGCAGGTAACCACGAGCCCTTAACTAACTGTCACGATTGACTCTGACCCGGCTCGTCTTGCGCAACGTTGTGAGAGCCGAGGGGCTGCGACCGCACTGGCACGTCTTGGGGGAGGTGGGGGGCTGGTTGGCGGGCGGGCTGGCAGGGGGGGGGGGGAGGCCAGCTCGGGCCAGCCAGGCGAGGCCCAGGCTGCGTCGGGCGCTCCGGCCCGGCAGGCCCGCCAGGCAACGCGCCCCAGGTGTCGTCGGGGCAGTGAGGCAGAGATGGAGGGCTGCTGAGGG